ATTTATGGCATATAGCGGACAATATATTATTTTCACATAATTGCCTTTATAAATGAGTGTTGTAAATGATTGCTATTGATTTTGCAACTATATACATGTATTCTTATTGAAGGATGTACATTCATAAAGAAATATTGTAATATACTTATTGAAAATAGTGATACTTACTTTTATCATTATAGCTTGATTTGCAAAGGATTCAAAATTTTGCACTTCTTAAGTGTTAGAAATAAACAGACAAACAAAAAAGCTTGGAACTATTAATAAATTGAAGAACTAAAACGAAGAATTTAAAATGTGGCATTTCTTAAATATTAGAAATAAGCTAAACAAAGCTTTCAAAACTAACAAACTCTAAGTCAAGAATGACTTGACATTCTTCAGTAATGTAATATGCCAAACAAAATGATGCTTGAGGGTGGGTTTTGACACTATGGGTTTTTGACAGAGGGGTTTTTGACATGACGGTAAAAACCATGGTTTAAACCGGTAAAAACCGTCATATGTCAAAAACTTGCCAACTCTGTTATAAATATTAAATTTTTCTTTGTTTTCTTTTTTATCCTTTGATTTTTTTTAATGTTAAACTTGTTATTAATTTTTCAAATTTCCTTTCTTAATTTAGAGTGACCAAGGAGTTTATAGTCAACTTGCTAAAGACTTAATATTGAGGAAAGGAAGACGAATGCTGATAAACGTAAATGACCTGCGAAAAAAGAATCCTGTCAGATGTCAAAGGTCCTAATTTTATTCGAAATGTTTTTCTTTTATAGTGATTACCCATTATTGTAGTAATAAACTTATTTCTTGTCATCCTAATTTTATGTTATAATCATAATGCTCTTATGTTGTCTTCATAATGCTCTTATGTTACTATCTTCGTATTGTTCTTATGTTGCTTATATATATTGTTCTACCTCATAATGTTCTTATGTTGTCCTCATTACATGTTCTTATGCAACTTCCTGTAAGTTAGTAAAATAATTATGTTTTATTTTCTAGCCTGTTGAATTCTTCTTTTGAAGAGTTTGTGGCATTTCAAAGAGCCTTAAAAGAATTGATTTCAGCTGCTGATCCGAGCTATGCCAAAGATATAGAAGAGTTTTTTATTGCACTTGAGGGAAGGTAAATTAATAATCAATTGTTATATTTTCAGTATTAATATACAAATCTTCTACTTTTCTGCAGAATCACTTTATTTTTGTCCAATATCCTTCATAAACTTAATAGTTGAAAAATTTCTGAAATTTGATTTATTAAACTAAAAAGCCATCCACAAATTGTTCAAGTGATTAAAGTATTTTATTTACCTGTTATATTTCTAAATTTTTATGACTCTTGAATAGCGATTTAAAAGAAAAGAAAAAAAGTTTTCACTCAAATTTCATAATTGTGTCATATTCTTATGTATTCTTTTTAGAAGATTAAAAAAAAAAAATTGAATGATAGAGATAACATGATGAATAGCATTTCTCAAAAATATCTTAAGGTGTTTATTTTTGTTTTTTAAAAAGCCCTTAATAGTGCTTTTTTCAAGAGATGTTTGTAAGAAATGCTTAATTTTTGCTTTTTAAAAATTAGATTTTTTTCCCCATGACAATTGTTGTCAAGAATTACATAGGGCATTGTTTTGCTACATTCCATTCTACATTTTCGTAGTTTATTTCTTTGTACCGATGTTTATATTGTGTGCAAACTGTTGTTATTTTACGTGTTAGATGGTCCTCATGCATGTGTACTAAACTAAATTTAGTGGATATAATTCTTGCAATTGCATACAGCTCTGCTGCATTTTCGAGAGATTTTTGTTTTAAAGCTCCATCTTCTATCTATTGAAATAAAAAGAAATTTCTTGAATTTTTTTATCATTAGAATCAATTAAACGTTGCTAAATCTTTTTTTCCTAATGGCAAGTTGAACTTTACTTATTTCTTCTTGTTAATTTCTTCTTTTGTAACTCTTCATAATAGGTATGCTGCAGAGTTTGTTGATTTAAATCAAATGATTTTTTTGAAAAAAATCATTGATTTAAATATTTTTTTTTTATTTATATTTATTAATAGTACAGTACAATCTAAACTGCGCAATCGCTTAGGAAATGTGAAACCTGGAAATTTTTTTAATTTTTTTTTATATAGTCTGTGTCATTAAATTAAATAACCCAGTATTAGAATTGTGCTGTCTCTTTTATCAATAAGTATTTTTTTTCTCATAATATGTTTACAGTATCTTCAACATTATCAGATTTTCACTAAAGAAATTTTGTAAAAATAAATTCCAATGAGTGCATAGATTTTTTAAAAATTTTTTTTAGCTTAACTTATCTATTTTGATATAGGATTAAAAATGAATGTTTTAATGTAAAAAAAAAAGAAAGCACAATTTTAAATTAAAATCAAGGTTTGCTAATTGAAAATTTGTTTTAGTAGTTAAAGTATTCTTTAAATTCTTTATTTCATCTAGTCTTTAAATTTCAATCATGCATTTGTTTCAAAATGCTTATGCATTCAAAGCTATATATTATAAGGAAAAATTGTTTTAGTTAGAGCTTCTAAAATATTGTTATAATATAGTTTTAATATTGATTTAACATTTATAAAGTTTTTTAATCATAAATCAAGATTCTTACAGTGTATTTGAATGAAAAAAAAACTCTGATTTAAATAAAAGAAAATCTGATTTAAACGATTCCAATTTAAGCGAACTCTGGTATGCTGATAACATTCTTGCACGTTCTATTTGTACATTAGTACATACCACAATCCTTGAACTTGATTTACGAATCATTCACTAATTAAGTATTTTCATGCTGGTCCATAACAGTCAAAAATTATAAAGCTTCCCCCTTTTTGTTATTTGATTTAATAAAGAACTTGATCGGCTTGGAAGAGAATTCCTCCAGACTAAAAGTCTAGAACTCCCTGCTGCGATTGCAACAAAGCAGAGTACGTTTTTATAGAAAATTGAATATTTCCTATAAAATTCATATTTCAATTACTTTTATTTTTGCTATTTCTTGAAGTGAAAAAAAAATAACTTGATTAATTGAGTAGCAATGAGCTTGTTTTTCTACATTTATTTTTATCTGTTATGTGTTGATTTCTTGTTTATTTGTATGAAAGAGTATTTTCTTTAATTTCCACAAGAAAATGCTTTTTTTTGTATCAATTTTTTCTGACTTATAATTGGGATGAAAAACACTAAATTTTAGACTATTTATTTGTTTAATCTTCCTTGTTAAAACTTTTTAAAAGATGAAAACTTTACTCTTAACATATGTATATTGTATGTAATATTACTTCTTAACATATAATCTTTTAAACTTTACATGTATTCATAAAATTCAGAAGATATAAAAATTAAGATAAAAAGTGCCATTTTCTGATTTTTTTTTTTTTTTTTAAGTCTTTTTTTTTTTTCCCAGAAGAAAGGTATTTTTTAAAACTTATTATTTATAGTGTTACTTTAAGATTTTTATTATTTTTTTTTACTGTACGATTAATTTATGAATGGTTATTTATTTTTATATGAATGAATGAAAATATTTTATCTGTGCATGAATTGAGATTTCTTAACTGTTGTTCTTAAAGGATAGTTTACTAAATGTATAAAATATTTTAGGCTCTTTATTTTAGTCTCATTATCTGAATTTGTTATTAAAATGTCTGTACTCTTTAGTTATTTTATAGAAATTAAAAAAGAATAGAAACATTTCAGGAGCAAGGTTTTTTAAAAAAAATTATGAATTGAGACAGACTTTAACATTTTAGAAAATGTATTTAAGAATCAATTCAGACTTCATAATTTTAAATAATATTCTTGATCTCTTTATCATTTGACTAAAATTTCAATTATTTCAGTTAGATATGATGAATACAGCTGTAAAATATAATGAATGTAAGGTCTATAAAAATTAAGTTCAGTCCAAAATGCTTATCACCAATACTCGTTATTTCATTTTGAAATTACCGAATTTTTAAATTTTTTTTTAAACATTTTATAATTATTTAGTCACTTCAAATTACAAATATCAGTGAAATGTTTAATAGGGAACCATTCACTTATTTACTTTTTACTTTTGTAATATGAATGTATTATTTTGCTCTCTCTCTCTGCACATTGGTCTATACACTCTACATCACTATGGTCAATAATATTGTAAATGTTTCTTGTTGAGTATACTTTTCTAAAAAAAAATTTCTTGTTTCAAATCCAAAAGAGAAAAAAAATACTTCCAATAACTTTTTTAAAATAAAGTTTTAACTAATTTTAATTTTGAATTAAAAATTATTTATAATATGTAATTGAATTAAATAAATATTAATTAAAAAAAGTAAAAGAATTCTATATTGAATATATTTAAAATTGTACATAAAATGATTTTATGGTGGTATCTGAAATTAAGAAAAGTGTTCTTTAACTATTAATTTTATCGTGATTGTGTAAAATATTAGAAAGTGTTTTTGCATTATGTTTTGTATTCTGTTAGATATATATAAGAATTTTTAAAAATGAAAAAAATTTTATTTGTGCACTTATCCTAATTAACATTTTTTTTTAAAGACTGTTTAGTTGCCTTAAAAACTGTAACACTTAATTAAAAACTATAATCAAAATTGTCGTTTTTAAAAATATTTAAATTTTTTAGATTATTTCTAATTAATAAATTATTCCTATTGAGATTTTAATAAGTTTTGAAACAACAAAAGTAGAATATTATAATTTAAAGTGCAATTATTGGTTATGTTAATAAAATACTTTTTTTTCGTTTGATTTACATTGTATAATAATAATTCCTAAAAAGTGTAATTTTTATCATAATTTAATTAATAATTTTAAAGACTTATTCTAAAGTTTTGTTACCATGCGAATTTCAGCTCATTATTTTTCCAAAACTGTTGTGCATGTTTGTGATATGGTTATCATAAGTAATCTATTTTATTTTTTTATGAATAATAGTAGTGTATGTATAATTTTTAAAATATTTATTTTAACGTAATGAATTTCTTTTAGTTTTGGCTCTAGACATGTTACTCCAAGAACACTTGTTTCTAGTTATTTGGGTAATGTGGTTTGTGTTGAAGGAATTGTTACAAAGTGTAAGTTCTATTGATTTTTTTGTACAATTATTGTTTTATTAAATTACATGAAATCATTTCTTTTTTCAAGTAACTGTAATTAATTTTCTTGTTGATGGTCAAATATTTATAGCCTAAAGACAAGATTTATTTCAATATAATTTCACCATGTCAATTATTTATTTTTAAAAGCTGCTATTGTATTAGCCTTCATGCTTTTAGTTATTCAATGTGTATAATCGCTCTTGTGGTGATACTAAAGCTATCAGGCAAATTATATTCAAAAGAATATTCTGTTCAACTTTACTCAATAATAGTTTTAAGAATACAATTGTTGCATAAGCATTTAACCTCAAATTTTCAGAATTTTAGGGAAAAAATTATAAGTTGGCCACAACATTAATTTTTTTTAATTTCCATTTAGTGAAAGCTGTGCAAGCATTCAAACCAAGAAGTAGATATCATCTAGTCCTTTCAAAAGAAATAAATTATTATTGAAATCACTGATAGTTTTATGATAACTCTTCCTTACATTAATTTTTTTTCTTTTTTTAAAGGCTCCATTGTTCGTCCCAAGATTGTCAGAAGTGTTCATTATTGCCCAGCCACAGCTAAAACTATGGAGAGGCGTTACACTGATTTAACTACGTATGATGCATATCCTAGTAGTTCTGTTTACCCAACTAAGGTAAAAAAAATTTTCTTTTTCTTTTTTTAAATTAAAAAAATAGGGGTAAATTATTAATTTCGAGACAAATGTTTCAAAATACCGCTGTTGTAGAGTAGAAATTTGTCTTAACTCTGGTTAGTAATACTCTGGCTATGACTGTAGTTGACTCTGTTCCTATAAGTTGAAAGAAGCTGGTATTATAATTATTATTTGTAAAATTCACACTAATATTGAAAATGAAGTGGTCCAATAAGACCACCTAGGTATTTATTTAGTTTTCAAAAACCTTAATATAGTAGACAAGCTTAAGGAAGAAATCTAACTTTAAATTATATAGTTCATGCTATGGTACACGATAAAAATTGCCATCTATATATGGAGTAATAAAACTAATTTTATTACCCCATAATGATTGAAGGTTAGTATTAATGTAAGTTAAATGAAAAAAAGCTGATATTAGTAAATAGATTCAACTATCAATATTAATAAATAGATTTAACTTATAGATAAAAATATTGAGACCAAATATATTAAATGAGGAAAAATATTATAAATCAATTCTAACGAAGTAAAAAAAAAAAAAAAAATCTTTATTGATGTCGCATTGGTCGTCACTATTTCATTTAGAATTTGTAATTTTTTAAAATTGCAAAGCTTTTGCGCACCTGATATTAAGCGTGTGACTCGTAGCGGTAATATTCCTTTTATGGGAGAAAGATACGAATTTCTTTAGCTCTGTTGTCAAATAAAGGGGAAAAGAGTTTTGTTTGTTTTCATTGTTAATAAGTGTCCGGAAAAAAACCTTCTGGTAACAGACTTTTAGACTTCAGGTATGTGACTTTTTACTGAAGTTAGTGAGAAGACCAATTAAAAGTTTAAGCTCTTATTCTTATTTTTCTTTTTGTAGATTTTGTTCCATACATATCCCTAAAACTAATAGCTGTAATCTAAAAAATTACATACCAAATTGTAAAACTTGTTTACTCAAAGACAATTCAATAATTATTTAATTTAACAAATTTTTACATCCTTTATATGTTCAGGTTATTTTTATTCAGAACTCTCTTTTTAATTTAATTAAAAAAATATTTTAACTATCTTTGATGAATTAAATGCCTATTACTATTCAAAACTGTGAGTAAACATAATACATATCATTTCAAGTATGTTTTATGTCTATCAGAAGTGGAAAATATTGCAGTTTTTCTATTTTGATGATTATAAAAATTCCCTATGTGTAAAATATTTAGTACATATATCATGCAACAATTATCATGAAATTTTATATTTCGTGAAATATACTAGATTTTTTCCTATCAGTGTTGGCAGCTATGCAATATGTTTTTAAGTCAGATATATAATTTGAAATAACCTCCTCACCTCTTCGTTAACCTATCAAAAGTCAATCTCTCCCATTAAGATTTCAACTGTGAATGAACATGAAAATTCATACTATCACTCAAAACTTATCATTCAAACTTATGGAGTTGAAGTTCTTTATACTTATTTTATTGTTTTTATAGGATGAGGATGGCAATCTTTTGGAAACTGAATATGGTCTTTCAGTATATAAGAATCATCAAACCTTTTCGATTCAAGAAATGCCTGAGAAAGCTCCCGCTGGTCAACTTCCTAGAAATGTTGATATAATTGCAGACAATGATTTGGTTGATAAATGCAAACCTGGAGATAGAGTTCAAGTAGTTGGAATGTTTCGATGCTTACCAAGTAAAAAAATGGGATACACCACCGGAACTTTCAGGTTTGCTCATATTGCCTTTTGATATTTAAGGCCTAAGACAAGATCCTCAATTGTCAAATTTTTGGTAATTTAAAGATTAGTTAGAAAACTTAGCTGAAATCCTTTGTTTTACATGTCATTAATTATAACAAAGCAATTTTTTGTTTGTTTCCTTAATGACTTTCAATTGATTAGAATTTTTACTCAGTGTTGAAAATTAGAACAAATTTTGTTTAATTTCATGCCTTTTTTAGGAAATATTGATTGTTCTTGCACTAACCCAAAAATATTTTTATATATTAATAGTTTATTAACTAGCAATGTTTGATTCGAGCTCATAGTATTGTTAATGTTTTTATAATTAAAAGCAAAAGAAGTTGCATTGAAAACATTGAAATGTTTTAAATTATAATTCATCTATTATAATTTAAAACATATCTCTTCATTTCATTCATCTCATCGTATTTCATGTATAAATCTATATGATAGTGCTTTAAATTACAATAATTGAGTAGAGCTGTTGAAATGATGTAATATATACATGAGAAATCAACCTAGTGAGCATTATTTGTTTTAACAACTCTCTTAATAGTGTTACTAATCCTCAAAATGTTTTATTACAATGATTGATTTTTTATCCTTCAAAGAATAATTATTTACTACAACATTTCTTAAAGCAAATTAACAAATTTATTTTAGAATGCATTTGAACCTTTGTAAGTTAGAACACTTAAATCTGAGTCTAATAAGTTAGTAACAGTTCTCCCCATAATTAATCATTATTGTCACTTACTTAATGGTGCGCTACTGAATAGTATAGGGATATAAATTTTTCTACTCAAATTGTTACTGGGATTCAGCTTTACTTTCCCAAATTCAAGCTTTTCACTGAAAATTTAAAATCTTCTTAAAGTATTTTCCTTCTTCTAAAAATGTACATAGTTTAAAGGAAATATTCATATTTATTAAAATTTTAATAGATAAAAATAAATGGTCTTATCAATTATCTATAATGAGCGCTGATTAATCATTCGGCAGTCTAACCATCTAAGTTTGCAGTTACTGGAATTCTGTATTGATAGCAAAACTGTGTTTAAGTGTACATAGCCACCACTAGTAGCTACTTGTTACTACAGTTACATATTGAAACCGAAAATCATGCCAATACAGTTTATCAATATATATTTTATTGCTAAACTGTATTTAAGAATATATATACATATACAGAGATGATTATGCTCCGGAAAAAATCCGAATTTTTCGCTAACCGCAATCTGGAATTTTCCAGAAATCCAAGGTCTAGAAGTTTTAAGAAATCATCAATCATATTTATATCTTAAAATTCTTGTATATTTTATTTAGAAATATTCGAACTAGAATTTATAATTGGCATCCTTTTCATTTGTAGATATTTTTTCTTTTAGGATAATAAATGTGATTAGACATAAAAGTAAACTTATTCATAATTATTCATTTAAATTATGCTGCATATAATTTATTTAGAATTTCATATTTTTAAAATATCTATGATTTAAATTTAAGAACACATTAATTATTTGAAATGCATCATTAATTATTTTACTCAAGTAATTTTCAGGAGTTTTTAGTTGGGCTCACAAGCACCCGTGTCTCTCTCTCTCTCTCTCTCTCTCTCTCTCTCTCTCTCTCTATATATATATATNCATTTCATATATATTCATATATTCTGTTGTTTGTTATTTTTGACTTCTTATTCCCCCCCCTTTTTTTTCTCATATGTCTATAATTTTTCTTTGTTTTATTCTTCATTTTGAACTTATACATATATATATATATATAAATAATAATAATAATAATAAAACCACTATCATCTTTTGTGCAATTGCACTCTCTTCTATCCAATTGTAACTACTACTTGTAAATTATACTAAGATTTATTTTTAGAAAAATGATAATTAAGATTTGTTATATTTTTAAATATATATTTAGCAAGTGCAAGATTTTTATTTCATATATAAATTGTTATTTCAACAGGACTATTTTAATTGCTAACAACATTCAACTCTTGAGTAAAGAAGTGTCTCCCCAAATTTCTGTGGATGATGTCAAGAAGTGCAAAAAATTTTCTAAACAAAAGGTAATGAATGACAACTCTCTTTTCTGAAATATCAACCGTCTAATAAATATGCTTAGTCAACCATTTTTGTGATAACTTTGAAATAAAAGTCATGCTGGAAAACCTGTTCCAATATTAATTCAATTTATTTTAGTAGGAATATTCTTTATCTTGAAATAATATAACTAATTTCTGCTTGCTATGCATGTCACAAATATATCGAACATTCCACAACTGTTGCCCATGGGGTCATAGAGATTACGGCTCCACTACCAGAGTTCCCACAGGTCAGGGAGTACAGGGAAAACCTGGAATTGTCAGGGAAGTTTAATTTAATTACTAAAATCAGGGAATAGTCCGGGAATGTTGCAACTTTTTACAAAAACGCGGAATGTTCTGATATCATACCTGGAAAATAACCAGTCTTAAAATTGTCTGTAACAGCAATCAGTTATTGAGATTAGAGTTAATTGATGTTAGCATCGATTGCTATTATTTGTTGTGAAAATTTCACATTTTAGTCAAACTGAAAGGTTCCATTCCTCTTTTAATAATACTTTTTTATGCAGAAAATCTAATATTTCACATTACTAATTAATTGAAAGTTTTCTGATGAAAAAATTGTTCCAATTTTCATTGAAATTTACCTAGTATACCTGAAAAAGTCAGGGGACTTTTTTTTTCGGAAATTGAGTGGGAACCCTGCACTACTTCATGACCGATGGCATAATTGTGGCAATGTTTTTTGTCAGACCGCCTTCACTTCCCAGACAAGTTGGTACCCATTGATTTGAAATTGGATGGGCTTCAAGATGCTACTGAAGATTGAACCCCAGTCCTTTATAATGACACTTCAGTTTTCAGTGCACTAACCTCTGAGTCACCATCTCTGTATCCCTGTCACAAATAATTGTATAAGTTATGCTGAAAGAAACCAACAACACATGAAGGAGAAATGCATTGTATTACATAGAAAAAGCAACTTTATCTAAAAAAAATTGTGCTTTTAAATAAACCGTGTTGATATAGCTTAGTGGTTAAGACACAGAATTTAAGAATTAGTATGCATTGAGAATTACTGAGGCTTTATCCCTGGCGATAACTGGAAGGCACGCAGGTTCAGAACAACATGTACCAGCTCGTTTGAGGGGTAAAAACCACATTGAGCACAATACTATGCAAAGTTGCAATCATAGCCTTTTTGACAAAATTGCAGCTATTATGTCCAATAATGGGCTTTTGCTAGAATGTGTTACTTTACGTGCTTTCTTATTTGAAGCATCAGTTACTTTTTAGAGACTGCAAAAGAAATTATTTGATGTGTATAATTAAAAAACTGAGCAAAGTTATTTATGTTTTACTGTGTTTCTGACTCATATATTTGATCAATATTTTCCAAAAATATGAAACAAAAAGACACATTAATATTGGTAAAAAAATATATTATATTGGGGTAATTAGTTTTTAACAAAATTATGGAACCTTAAGAACTATCATCCCCTTGTCCAATAATGGGCTTTTGCCGGATGCTTTACTTTTATGTTAAAAATGCTTTCTTATTTTAAGCATCATTTAGTTTTTAGAGTTGGCAAAAAAATTATTTAAAACATATAATTTAAAAACTTAGCAAAGTTATTACCTATGTTTCACTGTTACATTTGATCAGTATTTTACAAAAATATGAAACAAAAAGACATATTAATATTGGTAAAGGAAATGTATATTATATTAAGTTAATTTATTTAATTTTTGATTTGTATGCTTATAGTTAAGTGTGATTTGATTTTTTTTATTTTATTTCAGAATGTTTTTGACATATTGGCCCATTCTCTTGCTCCTTCAATTCATGGGAATGAATATATTAAGAAAGCGATATTATGTTTATTGTTGGGTGGAGTTGAGAAAGTCCTACCCAATGGCACAAGATTGAGAGGGTAAGCTTTGAATTTAATTTATTGCTTCAATCTACAAACTGATCCATAAAATAAGAAGATTTACACCTTTTCCACTACAAGATAAAATTACTGTTAAGACTTTGGAACTGAAATACACTGGCCTTTAAACCTCAGGAAACAGCGAATGTCTAAAAACCGTAAAAAAAAACATAATTCTCAGAAAATTAGAAAACACCGCTGAAAAAGAGTGTCATTCTCTAACCCTCAACTTCAAAAATGTTTGAAATATCAACAATGAGGAGTATTATAAACTGTATTCAACATCACATTGGGGGGCAGTCCAGGGTAAATTTGGAAATATTGAAGTAATTATACAGGTGTGTTTTAAGAAAATCAGATTTCTAATTCTGAAATTTTGAAGGAAAATTATGCAAAGGGGTCTGTCCAGGGTAAATTTACCGTTTAGCGGTTCCTTCACGAATTCAACTTTAAGAAAAACGGTAGTTTCACAAAATACTTTTTAAAAAAAGCAAGTTCTCATGCAAAGCCTGTTCTCATTGCAATCTATGAAAAGAGGAGCTGTCTTTTACGAAAAGGCAGCACATGTTTGATCAGATAGTGCAATGTGGTAAGCCTAACAGATCGCTAATGCCATATCAAAACGAGCCTTTTTTCGCTGAGTTTTTTTTTAAATGCAACGACGAGGTTCTCTCTCTATAAACTGTACAGGAAGTCCAAATTCAAACATTATTCTAAACATTTTAACATTATCTTAAACACTATAGTAAATTTATTCTAACAGACCTTTTTTATGAAACATTTTTTTCTCTGTGAAACTATTTTCTGTATGACCTACTCGAAAATGTTCTCATAATGAAAATAACTTTTAGTGCTAGTACTGTTAAATCAGGGATCTGTCTAGGTTTTTCTCAGAGGTACTTATTTTGTGAAAATTTAGACATTATTTGTGAAAAATTAGAAATAGTATTAAAAAATCAACACAAAAATATGGTAAATATTTGGATTTATCGTTACTTATGGGATACAAAAATAAAATTTTAAGAAGTATTTTGTGAAACAACCGTTTTTCCTAAAGTTGAATTTGTGAAAATACCGCTAAACAGTAGTAAATTTGCCCTAGACAGACCCCTGGTTAAATGCATGTTTTTATTAAAATCAAGTTGAAATTTAACTATGGACAGTGATTTTTATAGAATTATAAACTTGGATACAATTTTAAGGCCAAAATTTCACCATAGCAAAATTATTTTTGAATATATGAGGAAAAATGTATAGAAATTTACCAGTCATAAATGATTTTTATTTGCAGTGACAATATTTGAAAATATTTTCTTACTTTACCATATTTTTGTGCTGATTTTTTAAAATAATTTTTAATTTTCACAAATTATGTCTTAATTTTTCAGAAAATAGGTTCCTCTCAAAAAAAACCTAGACTGACCCCTGCACATATAATTTTTATTTTCACTTATTCATTGTAAACTTTGAAATGTTTTAAATTATAAATAAGTCATAAAACTGATAAAGTCATATAAAAGTCATAAAACTGATTCAAGACTTGAAAGAAACTGTCTGAAACCTATCAAATTTGACTCAAACCACCATAAAATATTGTTAGTGGTCTCCTGAACCAGCAATTATTAAAAAGGGATCGTATGTTATTTTAAGTTTCTTGTTTTAATCTTTTTCTCTTTTCTTTTTTACTGACGGGTGAAAGTGTGTACTAATTAGCAACATCTTTTATTTATTGGTTGGTCTTTTGGACCAGTGATATACATTTTTTTAGTTCTTACCCCTAGAAATATATTTTTAAAAATTTATCAAGTGGCACTTTCATTTATTATTATTTTTTTGTTATGGATATTTCAATAAATTATTTATTTTTGAATTAGTAAATAATTCTTATAGATAATTTTGTTTTTCTGAATATCTTACTGATAACTTAACAACGAATAGTAAAATTAGTTTCTAGTTATTTAAAGACTATAAAAAAATTACTAATGCTCTGTTTTGAAGGTAATTTAACAATGTAAGAAATGGTCTATATAATGCAAAATTCAATAAAATGCAAAGCTTTACATTTCAAGTTTTATGATATAAAGATCTTTTACTGTACTTCATTTGTAACGGTAACTTAATATATAAATGTTGCATACAACCAACTGATTTCTTTTTAAAAAAGGATAGAAAATTAAACGGGCATTGATTCTTACTTCAAAAATAGTATAATGAGCAATAGAGTGTGTGTATTTTCATAGTCTGAATAGCTGATAAGAGAATTTTGCAATTAGAACAAACTTTTTTGAAGTAGCACTTAAACGGTGAAAATAAATTATTTTCATTTAGAGTGTCTATCATTCATTAACAGTGTAGTAAACGATTTAGTTTTTTTTTTTTTTAATTTTTAGAAATATATAAGAAAGTAAACAATTACACAAGCTTTTCACTTCTAAAAATGATTTGCTGAAATTTCAGTATTTGTAACACCACAGGGGTTATGATACCCACATTTTTCCAATATTTACATCTCTCTAATTGTAATCAAATTTCGTAAATAAGAATAAAAGTAATTAAACTTCATTCTGCAGCGATTGAACCAGATGCAACCACCATATTGCAAATTGCTTGTATGTGCATTATCTATGTTGAAAAAACAATTTATAAAATGTTTTGCAAAATGTAATTATTCATCATTTAACTGTTAATAACTGACCTAGTAAGCGATTTTCTCTAATACCTGTTGAATATTTGTAATTAATTAAAGTTTTGATTATTAAAGATATTTAAGTTTTTTCTGTGAGCTACCTTTAAGCTAGTAAAGAAATGTAATAACAATGTCGATACAGGTTAGTTATACATCATTTAAAGAATTTTATGATAGTCACGAAGCATTCCAAAGGATACTGTGGTAAGTTCCATGGACACATAATGGTGATTCTTCATTAAAAAAAATAAACTTTCATCATATAGAATAATATGAAATTATGCTAAATCATTTGATTAAGCTAAATTATTTTAATTTTTACTTTTGTTTAACAGTGATGTCGAATTGGTTTCTGAAATTGCAATGAAAAGGTTTCTTTAAAGATAATTAAATTTTTCATGAAAAGTTCAAAAGTTCAGTTTTCACTTGTTTGAGTTTTAATGACTTTTGACCTCACTGACTGATAACGTTTTTTTATTTCCCCCCCCCCTTTCCTTTCTAACCTTGAGATAAGGGGTAACTAACGAGAACATTTGTAAGGTAAAATTACTTCTGCAAAAAGTTTATTTTTGTCTAAATATATTTATTGAGTTATGCTTATTAGACTTTCTCAGAAAATTATGCTTTATAATTATTCAAATTTTAGTTTTGTGTCAAAGTTGTGTCAATTTAATTTCCAAATTGACACTGAAATCTATTTTATCACAAATAACTCATAATTTAAAAAAAAAATCCAAGTGTCTCTCCCAAGTGTTTTCTCTTGCTATTCCTGATTTTTAGTTTAAACTGATTTGAGTTAATAATACTTTCTTTTGACCTACTGACTAACTACTTACATTTTTTTGGTTCTCTAACCTTGCAATAATAGAACATTAAAGAAAATATTACAAAAAAGAAACTAAATTTTCTACAAAAAGAATATTTTTACCCAAATATTTTAAAAAGCATGCTTATTGGACTAGTCTTTATTGCATCATGAAATTATGTTTCATTTTTAGTGACATAAATGTGCTGTTGCTTGGAGATCCATCAGTTGCCAAATCTCAGCTTTTACGTTATGTCTTGCATACTGCTCCCAGAGCCATAACCACTACAGGGCGAGGATCATCCGGTGTTGGTTTGACTGCTGCAGTTACTACTGATCAGGAGACTGGTAAGGAATCAAGATTGTTTTTATATATAAATTCAGATATGCAATTCTTTTGTCATTTTGTGACTTTTAATTGATACCTATTTTTTTTTAAAGTTTATATTTCTCTGTTTCAAGTTTATATTCCAACAATCTAAAGTGGCTTCTCTATAACTCAAAGCCATTGTGTGCATGATTTGTATTTTGTACTGAGCAGGTTTCTACTTTCTTAGCTTATATCTAACACAGCAACATAGTTTCTCATACTAATACAACTAATCATCAAAGATGTTTTGCTGCCATTGAAAATAATAAAAAATGCGAAAAAATACTGATAAAGCTTTTACTTGAGGTTGAATGTTTTATTTAAAGTCTTCATTCAGACTGAGATTTTTTTTTAACATAAGGTTCTGTTATTTGTAAATTGCCTATTGCTGATACCAACAATATCCAAGATATTGTGCTCCAAATTTTGAAGTCCAGGTGATTCCGGGTATGGGACTTCCCATTTTATTTATCCAAGCAACTCCAAATGCTTTATTATTGAATATTTTAGTTATTTTTTGTGATATGACCTGGTAAAAAGTTCTTATTTTTATTTTTGAAATGAATTGAAACTATTTTTAGCATTATTAAGACTGATAAAAGACTTTAACAGCAAAGGCTGTAAAAAGTAACTTATCTAATTATTAGATACATTACTTTATGTGTTATAATAATTAAGGTCTATCAGAAATTAAATCTGTTTAAGAATCCTTCACTATATTATTTAATGGACCTTTTTTTAAGTTTTCTACTTTTAAAACAATTCCTTTCACAAAACCAAATTTTCTGCATGAAAATTTGCATTTTTTTTAAAATTCTAAGCAGTATTATATTTTGCTTGAATTATTATTTGAAATTTGAAAAAAGTAAGCTTCATTAAAGTACAAAAATAAGTAGGGTTGCCATAGGTCAGAGAGTAGAAGAAACTTAAAATCGTCTGGGAATTATATTTTGATTCTAGAAATCAAGGAAGTTGCAATTTTTTACAAAAATTTAAATTCCTACATCATACTTGGAAAATAATCAGTCTTAGAATTGTCCTAAACAGTAAGCGGTTATTGAGGTTTGAGTTAAATAATTCTGACATCTATTACAATCATTTCTTATAAAAAGTTCACATTTTAATAAAACTTTCCTGTTTCTATCCTCATTCAATGATATTTCTTTGCTCACATATTCTAACTATTTAATTGTAAAATCAAAACTTTCTAATGAAAATTGTATGGTATAGATAAAATGCAATCTGGATATTCATTGAAATTTTTCTGATAAGCCTAGAAAAATCAAGGAATTTTCTGAATTGAGTGGGAGAGATCAGATTTGATCTCTTAAATTTTAAAAATTTTAAACTTGTCCCAAAAAATGATTGTAAAATAAGTGTGATATGATCCAAAAAATATTTAAAGAATGTTTTATAGTTATTTTTCAGCTTTAAGCTTGAGTTATATAAAAAATATGAATACTTCAAAATTTTCTGTTATATTTTTTGTTCGCAGGTGATCGCAGACTTGAGGCTGGAGCTATGGTTTTAGCTGATCGTGGAGTTGTTTGTATCGATGAATTTGATAAAATGTCTGACATAGATCGTACAGCCATCCATGAAGTTATGGAACAAGGGCGAGTGACAATTGCAAAAGCTGGAATTCAAGCTAAACTGAATGCTCGTTGTAGTGTCTTAGCTGCTGCAAATCCTGTTTATGGAAAGGTAAGTTTTAATGTTCTTTGGTTCTCAAAACCATACACAAGATTTCTTGGATCTGGGATATCATTTATCTTTTTTTTTTATTTCTTAAAAAATCATTTATCTTTTTTTTGTTATACTTTTAGAAGGTTATAAAAAAAAAAAGAATTGATTAACTCAGCTCTAAAATTTAAAAATAATGCTGCTGTTAATTATGCTATAAAAGGCTAATTTCTTATCAGATGAAATATAATTATCTAATCAGTTGCTAATTATCATGTAATTTTTCATAATAAAATAGCAGTTTTTGTATGTTAAGGAGTTACTATATGTTTCTACTTCCCAGTTATTGACATGTTTCACAGGGCTCTAGTTAGATTAAATTGTAATATGAACATAGTGATTCTAATTGTAAATCTTTATTTTCTTTTCTAAATAATTTAAAAAGTCATGGTTCTGATTTATTTGTTATAAATCACATAACAGTATTTGTTAAAAGAAAGGGATTGTTAATGTATGTTCTCAGTAGTTTTTATTTGCTAAACCACGCAGTTTCTAAAGTAAAAATTGTCTCCTTTATGTGAACTGAAGAAAAATATAATTTCTAGCTTTATTTTTTCAATTGGTAATTTTACTTTTTACTAAATGCTAAGTATTGATGTAATCATTCTTATATTAATAAATTAGTACACAATTATGTGTCAACACATGGTTGTTTATTATCTTAAATTGTCTGGAATTTATTATTAAACAGTTGCACGTGTGTAAAATTTACTCTTGTGGAAATTCAGCTTTTTTGCCTTTTGGGAAATCTCATCCCTGATTAACTAACTATATTTCAATGAAAAGCAATTTCATCGAAAAAAATCTTAGATGTAATTTTTAAATATAATTTTTACAACTTTGAGATCAGCAGATAAGGGCTAGGCTTAAAGTAAATTTTTTTTTTTAACTATGTGATTACCAATTTATTGTGTAAAATTTTGAGGCATTATTTTAAATAAGTTTTACTGATAAAACTTTTGATTCCTGTTATTAGCTTTTTTGGACTTTTGTCAAACTCATCCTTGCATAAAACAGAACTGCAAACAATTAATGTTCTACCTTCAGAATTCAGTTTGCTGTTGATGTTAACATCTGATTTATTTTGTCTTTTTGTTGACCTATCGCGTCAATCTAAACTGGTAAGTTGAAACACTAGAGGCGAAGAGAGGAAAAACGAAAGTAGGAAGGAAATTAGTGAGACATTTTATAGGTTTGCCTGGAAAAAACTTCTTGAGAAGTCCAAGGCCCACCCTGGGCTGTCGAGCCATTGATGATGATTTAATAGGTTTTTATTTCTAAACAAAAGTAAACAAGCAAACTAATATGACTCACTAGTCCAAAAGGGAAGATGAAAGTTGCCATCTCCACAGAAATAGCATGCTTTATTTATTTAATTTTTCAGCAGTTTATATTTAGGTTTTGAATTTTGTGTAAATTTTCAAAGATGAAGCATATTCTGAGGTTACAGAAGGATAGAAATATAATTATTCAAAACTTTTTATTCGAAATATGAATCTTTTCTCTGACAAAAACTCTTTTACTTATTTTCAGAAAATATGTTATGTATAATATGTTTCAACCCATTGGTTAAACTATATTTTTTCCTTATTTTAGTATGATCAGTACAAAACTCCCATGGAAAATATTGGCTTACAAGACTCTCTGCTTTCTCGTTTTGACCTGTTGTTTATCATGCTTGATAAAGTATGCCATCGTTTTATTTCTTTCGTAGATCTCCCCTGATTAATGTGTTTCTCTGCTACAATGTTTAAACTTATTCTTCTCTTTAGATGGATCCAGAATGTGATCGGGAGATAGCTGATCATGTTGTACGAATGCATCGTTACAGAAAACCTGGGGAGATGGATGGAGAACGTGTGTACTGATTTTTTTCTTTCTTTTTAAATTCTAGATTTTCCATGTATTGGTTAACTTTTTTAACCCTTGTGTTATAATAAGAAATAAAAAAACAAAATGAATATGGGGTCAACTTTATCCAACTAATAAAATCTCACGCATAATATGAAACTTTTTGGTTAATTGAGTTCTTTTTAATTTAATTTATAATTGCTTGTATGAATTACTTTGAAGAAACAATTGCTATATCTTCATTTAAACTATTTACCTGCTTTTAAATTTCAAGTAAATAAAAATATAGAGCACAGTATAGTTAATATAAATAATAGAGTTCCCACTGAGTCAGAGGTATCTGTAATTGTCAGAGAATTTAAAGAAAATTTATCACTAATAGCTCAGGGTGGGCCTTGGCCTTCTCAAGAAGTTTTTGTCAGGCTAACTTTTTTCCTGCTTGTGTTTTCCAGTTTTTAGTTTTTAAGACCAAAAGGTCTTTTTCTACGCCATCTATCCATCTCAAATTTGGCCGGCCTCTTTTTCGTGTGCCAACTGGTCTGGCATTGAACTCTTTTTGTGGTACGATCTTTGTCCATTCTGATAATGTGGCCTGTCCATTTTATTCTTTGTCGTTGAATAAATTTAATAATGTCGGGCTCATTACATGAGTGATAAAGCTCTAATTAAGGAAAAATTTAATTTTCAGCTGAAAAAACCTTGCAACAAACCTGGAAAATAATTAATTTTGAAATTTATTAGAGCAATTAATAGTCATAAGTTATTTATCAATTTTCATTATTTCTTGTAAAAAATATGCATTATGTCTATTTTTCTAAATTTTTTTAGATTACCTAAAGTTAGAATATAAATTTTTTAAAATTACTATCTTTTTTAAAAATGTGTTTTTAAGCAAAAGTATATTTGTAGTCCAATACTATTTTTTATTAAGTTAAAATTTCTGTATAACATGTTAGTCCTTCATCTTTACAAAAATAAATAAAATACATGACATAATTTCTACTCAAAAAAGTAACTTTAATTGGTTATTGAATTCTAAAAAAAAATGTATTTCTGATGAAATATTGCTAATATGATAAATTATAGCAAAAATATAATCTAAAATATTCTGGAAAAGTTCAGAAAATTTTGTTTTTAAAATTGAGTAGGGCCCCTAAATACATTTTATTATACATACCTCAAGTTTAAAGTTTCGTAGTCTGCTGTTTTTTTAAATTTGTTTTTGTGTTATTTTAGCTCTGCCTATTCATTCTGCTGCTGATTTTCTGGCCACTAAAGATCCTGATTCTGAAGATGAGCAGGATGGGGAGACACCAATTTTTGAAAAATTTGATGCTTTACTTCATGGATCAAGAGCTAAAATGTAAATAATTTTTTTAGTTTACTTTTTTAAAGTTTGAGGTAGTTACTGTTTTATACAAATTAATAGCTGTGGGTTGCAACTTTTCTTCCTCTCTTTTTTTAGATAGGGTATAAAAGAAAATTCAGCTACTTTAAATGTTAATGAAAAAACATCTTTTGATTTATAAATAATCATAGTAAAATAGACCATCTGTTAGTTTTTAAAATTAATGAATTCATGTCATCATTGAAAGAATTAAAGTTTCTAAAATTTTAGTTCTACTGAATTAATTGAAATGAGTGCTTTTATAATTTTATTTTTTCAATTTAATTATAAAATTATTAATTAGAATAATTTGTCATTTCTAGGGTGCTCAGGTGCAATGCATTTATGTTTTTTATATTGTTATATTTTTAGATTGCTATTTTTGTATAATCTATTTTTTTTTAAGTAATATGGTTTATGAAATAATATTTCATTTAAAGTTGTAGTTTGTTGATAAAAATATTGCTTTATTTAATGTAGCGTTATGTTAAAATAAGTGTAAAAAAAAAGTAATTTTTTGTTTTTCCAGCCATTAGAACTAAAACATGCCTTGGCTATTTTAGTTTATATTTATGTATTAAAATAATATTCAAATTTCTTTCCTTATTTTTCATTGTATTTATTTAAAACAAAAAAAAAATTACTTCTTTAATATACCCCTTTATATTAGAACTTATATTAATAGAATAAAAAAAAAATGCATTAGAAGATAGAAACTTCTTTTTTTCATGCACTACTATAAATAACATTTACATCTTAAATGGTTGTTTGCCTGTTAAATTAATAAATGAGTTGTAAAGTAATAAATAAGTATATTTAAAGTTATTATACTTTTTCATTATATTTGTATATTTATGGAACTTGTATATTTAAGTATTTTTGAATTCTTTATTTAAATTATTAATCGATAGTCAAGATATCTGTAAAATGTATGTTGATGGTTTCGTTAATTTTTACTTGGATCTTAATGTTTTAGTTAACCTTTTGTTTTAAATAAACCTGAGAAACCTAGTTTAAACCAAATCGAAATAAAAAATTATTTTAAACTGAAAAACCTGGTTTTCAGGGGATTTTTGAATATTTTTTTCCAACCCTGTTCAAAACAGTAATATACATTATTATTTGCAGAAAAAAAAGAGATAGAACAAGTAAATTGAACTAATAACATAAAATGTATTAATTTTGGTTTGCTTTGCTTGGTTGCAGAAATTTCTTAACTGCATTTTTCATTGTTTACACTCACAAAGTTAATGTGACTTGTGGACAATCCATTATTTTGTTTTTCTACTCTATATACACTATTTTTGAAGCATTTCATTTTTCTGGTTGCACCTCTGCCTCATGCCCCCCCCCCTCTGCAAAACCTCTTGTGGTCACTTTTATTAACTATCTCCTAAACCGCAAAGTTAGTGTGATTTTTGGAGAATTGCTTTTTATAGAATTGTGTTCTAGGGTTGTTTGTTTCCACTAACATATTTAAGCTTGGGTGCACTTGAGCTTTATTGAACCAGTTTTCCGAATGTTTAATCTTTTATAACCTGCGAGTGGAAATGAAATGAAATGAGTGGGCCTTTTTTTTAATCAATAATTATTTTATCTGTAATCACGCACGCCTTGGAAGAATCTGAGTGGCATATTGAAATTCAAACACATTTTTGAAATGAGTCACAGAAAATTTCAACAATAAAGTCTATTTAAATACAGAGGTTATTTACTCTTGATATGCCTTAGCGAGTAAATTCTATAAATAAGTTTAATAAATTTTTTAACCCATATTTTCTACCAAAGCAACTTGCATGATTTTTGAGATACCTTGTACCAGTTATAACATTGTTTACTCAGAAAGATCATATATGATGGTGTCACGTAGAACATCTATGTAATGTAATTCTATTAACCGAATTTACTTTTACAAGTGTAGACAATGAAAAATCCAGCTTAGAAGAAATGTCTGTAATTAATCAAGGATCTTTTTTTTATTTCTTGTTTCCCTATTTGTTAGAAGGTTACAATTATTACAAAACCGAAATTGATATATTGGCTAGTTATTAGACATTATAATGTATAATTAGTTGATTATTATAATAATTATATATATTTATTCCAATGCTCTAGAAAATTTAATTATTTTTCCCGTGTAAATAATAAACACTTGATTGTATATTTTGTATGTTTAAGTGTTTTTATCTAAAACTTATTTTGAAGCATTTTATAATTAATATGTTTCAGACTAATTTTATGGCCATGTTTAGTAAGTTAAAAGATATGTAATTTGAAAGTTAAAAGACATATAATATGATATATGTAACGTAGATTCTATAAAATGCAAAGCCTCATGTTTCAAGGTTTTCGTTACAAAGATCTTATACTGCATATATATATGATCATTTTATCAATATTTCCTAATCATTAAAAGAAATGCTTCCATACTTAAATATTATAATATCTTAATATACAAATATTAATATAAATATCTTATTTTTCAGGGAGAAAGTTGTTAGTATTGAGTTTATGAAAAAGTATATTCACTTAGCAAAGGCTGTAAAACCAATTCTCACTAAGGAAGCGTGTGAAATTCTTTCTGAAGAATATACAAAACTTCGAGCATTTGATACTCAGAACAGTGATATTGCCAGGGTAAGTGACATTCTTATCTTACAAATTTATTTAAAATTAAGGTGTTCAGCAAGCTGATAACCTGGCAAAGCAAGAGACATTTTTAATTTTGGAAAAGGCAGGAACGTTCGTAATTTAAGCAAAGAATTTATAAATTTCTATCAAATAGGTGGAATTTTTTTTCTTAGCATAATTTTTGAATTTTATAACTTTAGTGTTTCAGTCTGGTCTGCAGCTGTTTTGTCTACTATAATTTTTTCTTGTATCAAAAGAAAGTTAATGTGAAAAAACCCTGTAAAATTGTGTTTAAAAATAAAATTAAATAGTATACTAAGTAGTAATAAATGTGTTAAATCTAATTACACATAACTCAGTGGCTTGGCAAAGGCCTATTGTGCCTGTCTCAGTTTTCTGTGGTGCAGGAGCAGATGTTCTGGCTTGGTGGTTAGCCGAGCACGGAACCCCCAGTATACTTGGTACTCATTTTATTGACCCACTGAGACCTGTTCTAAGCATTGAACCCAGGNAAAATATAAAGTGTTTTTTATCCTGTTCCTTAAAAATTATGATGTTCTTTCTAAAACTGAAAAAAAGAACATCATTTCTAGAGCGAATTATCTTTTTAACTTTTGTGATTTCACAATTTTTTTATTTATTTATTATTTAATTTATGAATTTAAAATTCTAGTTTAGCAGGAGTCTGTCTAGGCTTTTCTGAGAGGTACCTATTTTGTGAAAATTTAGGCATAATTTGCGACATTTAAAAATTATATTAAAAAATCAACACTAAAATGTGGATTTATCGTTTCTTACGGGATACAAAAATAAAATTTTAAGAAAAAGTATTTTGTTTTCTGAAAATGAATTTGTGAAGGTACCGCTAAACGGTAGTAAATTTGATCTAGACGGACCCCTGTTTAGGCTTTTTATATTACACTTATATTAAAAAAGAAATAAAGCAGCTTTAAATAATCCTTATAGCTTTAAATAATATAATCCTTTTTAAATTTATTGTTGTGTTTTTGTAGAGAGAAATAGTAACTTCAGTAAGTCACGAAAAATTCATAGAACTATTCATGAAAAGTCCTGAATTTGAAAATCTAAAATATAGCTGATACCCTGTATGAAGTTAAGCTTTTGTGGTTGAATTTGTAGCATGTAATATTTTTTTTCATTGTGAAAAAATTAGGCTGAACTTGGTCAGACATAATGTAAAATTTCAATATTTCTTTAAAAAAAAAATAAATTAATAAAAAAACATGTGTTTGCACACAGACTCAACCAGTGACTGCTCGATCTTTAGAGACGTTGATCCGTCTTTCTACTGCCCACGCCAAAGCTAGAATGTCGAATACGGTGAGTGTGAAAGATGCTCAGTCTGCTATCAGTTTGGTGCAGTATGCCTACTTCAAGAAGGTGATGGAGAAAGAGAAGAAGCGCAGGCGCCACGACGACAGCTCTAGTGATGAAGAAACGGAAGAAGCACACAAGAAAAAGTTAGTTTATTTATTTTATAGGTAACACTATTGAAAAGCTTTTTGGAAAAAGTTTTTCAGTGACATTTTAATTAAAATTGCAAAAATTGCTTGCATGAAAAGTAAAAACAATAAGAAACTGTTTTAAGAAAACATTCTTTTCCATTAAAACTTCGAACCCCCTTGGCAGAATCGTGGCGCCAAGGGGGTTCGACAATCGTGCTCCGCCATGATTGTCACAGAACGTTGCAGAGTTCTTGCAGAAAGAATTATCCTTTGAAAGGTAAAAAAATTTGGTTTTCTTTTCTGCAAAAATTATATTTGAAAAATGCCTTTTTCATGCATCGTGTGGGAAAGAACTGTTCTTGATTTTTCGATTTTTATTTGAGGAGAATAAAAAGTAAAGAGTATTGGAGCAAAATATTCATTTTTATAGAAATGTTTGAAAGATTTTTTTCCTCCACAATTATATTGAATAAATGCCTTTTTCACGCATTAGAAAGTAAGAAATGCTCGTAGTTCTTTTAAAATTCTTATTTGGGAAAAAATTTTTTAAAAAATTGCTTTTCTTTTCTTTTACGGATTTTAAGATTTTTTTTTTTATGTGATGAGGATTTATGAAATGTGGAGAAAAAAAAAGTAATGAGTGCATTTTCCTCTTACAAAATATGAGAACATCGCCCATGATATTAGAGAGAAAAAATTATTACATAACCATTTAAAAAAAATACATACAATTTTATTATATCCAAATAGGCTTTTTTTGTAAATACAACGTTTCTTTTTCTTTAAATTTAATTTATAACATGTATATTAATTCATGGTGCAAAGCATTTTTAAAAAAGTGCATATTTTCGTTTTTTTAAGGGCCTTTTTTACCTTTTCGAAAATGAGATTTTTTACTTTACCATGTCAATTTTCACCACATATTATGAGCTGGGTTCGGTGAGATTGTTGCACTCACCTGCTGCAATTTGCAAGCAGATATTCTCAATTTTTAGACTTTATTTTCCACCCTCTGATATCAAACCAAAAAAATCTCTTGATCATTTTATAATGGCTAATATAATCAAGAAAAGAGTTCTGGGTGCTTAGCATTTTTCAAAAAGGGTTTAAAGGTGCTTATTTTTGATTTACGTTTTTTAAAAACTCTTAAAGGTGCTTTTTTTATTCGCGATTTGTAAAAAGTGCTTAATTTTCTATCTTTTAAAAAGTTTTTTCTTTCTTTTCCGTGTCGATTGTCATCATAAATTTTAAAAAATGCATGATTTTCACAATTTCCTCTGCAATATTTATCAGAAACTAGTTATTTTATCATGATTATGTAAAGTTTTTGAAAATGTTTTTGAATTTTATTGATTTTATGTTAAGGAAAATCTGCCTCAGGGCTTCTAACCATAGAATATTTCTAAGCTCAATATTTTGAACAGAACATTACTCAGTTCATTATTCCACTTAGATCTTCTATTAAGGAGGCACTATACCTCAGGCAAAAACTTTTCCTGGCTAATTCTATTTGACCTGCTTTGGTGATTTGAAATTGAAAAAAATTAATTTAAGTAAGGTTACAGTTAACCTTGAACTGACAAATGCTATCAAAATATCCAAATATAAACAAATTATGGCAAGATTACTGTCGACACGGCAGAATGCTAAGTTATCCTGCAATCATTTATTTGCATTTGGATTTTTTGAAGAAAAGAAATTTTTAGAATTTGAAATTTTGTAGTTTTCTCTAGGTGTACCTGCACTCACTTTATACTTTAAATTCTAAAATAATGAAACAGAAGTAGCTATTTCTCTCTTGAAGAATTGTAGAGGAAATATTGAAATGTTCATGTGATTTAAGTGTACTCGACCAGTTTTTTCTTTGCTGTTTTAGTTTTTAGTGTGTAGAATTTTTTCTTTTAAATTATTCATTCTATATTTCTTGTTATTTTTAACATTGCAGGAAATCTACTAAGCCCAGACCTAAACCTGGTGAAGAAGGATATGATCCATTTGAATTTGATGATGTAGAAGGTAAGGAATTATTCAAGTTTATCAAATTTATGATTTCCTCCATGCTTTATTTAGTTTTGTTCATTACTATTTTAAAATCAAGATGTTTTACATTTCCTTTCCATTAACATATTACATTTCCTTTAAAGTTCATTGTTTAATAAATGATATGAAACATTTTCAAATTACTCATTGTGATCAGTATTTAACATAGGCTAGTAGACATCACTTGGTTTTCTAAATATAGACCTATTTAAGAAATCTTTTAATGGAAATTTTTTACTTATTTTAAGATGTAGGAATGAATTTTCAAGATGATAACGATTTGCCTCACAATGTTTTTAGAGTCACAATCCTCTACTCAGGAGTGGATTTTATTTTCTTAAATTTTTTTTAAATACTTTCTGGGCAATGATATATCTTTTGCAAAAATATAATAAACTGAGTTGCCACAGAATTAAAAAAAAAAAAAGTAGGGAGAGCAGAAAAAAAATTATTATTATTAATCAGGAAATCTCTCTGAATGTTTATTAAAATAACCTAAGAAACTCATTGAAAAGGAATAAAATTGAGGGTCAGGTGTTTGAGTCCAATATTTTTTTTTTTATAATGCTTAGTACAAATTTTAAGTAATATTTAAGTTTCATAACATTTATTTTGCAGTTTTATATATTTATTTTCTTTCGTCTATTTTATAGTACTTATTAATGTGATACATTTCTGTGCTATCTTAGTATAAATTGAAGTATTAAAAATATTTTTTGACTTTATCTAATTATAATCAAGATCTTAAAATCAAATTACCTATGTTTTTTTTAACACTAAACATACCAACACTTAATATATACATATTTCTACCATAGCCGGTCAAATGGCCAAACTTTATGTTTCTTGATTTAATGTATGAAATGTGGATGCTAGGAAAAAAATTAACTAAAAAAACTTTATTATAATTAAACAAAATTGCATATTGACAATTTTTATGTATTACAAACACTTGCTGAATGCAATTTTTACATATACGGGGTTTTTACATTTTCCGCAAACATATTTCTTCTAATTATTATTTCTATAATTTTTATAAATATTCTTATAAGAATATATAAAAATTATAATTGTCACTTTTTCTTACGCAAAAATGCCAATCTAAAATTTTAGGTACTTTCTTGACATTTGAATTTGCAGTTATTCTGATTGAACTAACTAAGCAACACTATTTTCAGAAATGTGCAACTAATCGAATGCAATACGCTGAACACGCATTACATTTCTGATCCGATAGCCTTATAAAGCAATAAATTGTTCCCCAGGTCAAATGACCGGTTGTGGTAGAAATAAGTATACTACAAGTATTATTCTTAAAAAAAAAAGAAAACACTTAATACTAGAATATTAACTGTATATAATTGTTAGAAAAAGTCATGAAGTCAAATGTGCAAAAACGATAAGATGATAAGCTCATTTTCGATGCAAAAATTCTTAAAGGGTCATTTGACCAGTTATGGTATGTTTAGTGTTAATGAAAAAAATCACACTAATGTTGAGCCTATTGCTTAGAAGTTGCAAGAAAAAGGTCAGGAAATTGTTCCTTTAAAAATACAGTAATTGAGAATAATTAACAATATTGGGGTCAGCTTGGTAAAAAAGAGTTATCTGATTTATTGTTCTTTGAGATATTGTGAAGTAACTATAACGTGTGTAGCATAAAAAGCTTCAATTAATCTTTTTATGTTATTCCTGTTCTGTAAATCCTTTTCTTATTTTATTTTTTCAAAACACTTTCTCACACTTTTAAGTTCGCATTCTGTCCTTTAATCTATTTTTGGCTCAAGTGTGCATTCATTAAAAGAAGGACCTTTTCCCCTTTGCTCTTTGTGGGAATCGCGTGACCTATTTAATAAACCAATTACAATTACTAAGATTTTCCTAAAACGAGACATTTTACGAAATTTCTTTGCAAGATTTTCCCTAACATTTATGGAACAGCACGATGATTAAGAATCGCATTCTCTCCCTCGTCATCACATAATGATTAAATAAAATATACATGCTCTATTTAAAAATGCTGTGCCTGTTTGTTCTGCTCACACGAGTGCTAACATTATATATATATATACTATTATTCATGGCAATAAAGTGTGTTTGACAAAATTTTTTAATAGGTGCCCAAGTTGCTTCTTCCCAACCATCATCTGGAACGACGCAGGCAGGCTCGTCAACAATGGATACAAGTAAACCCAGTAGTTTGTCCGACTCAAGGTATCTTATTTTTTCATATTCACATCTTTTTAATCCTGTATTAGAAATATTACTTTAAGAGATCAAAGTTCTATATTTCCGAAATAGTCGTATATAAATCCCTTGTTTCTTTTACACCGTGCAAAATATTTACATCCTGTAATGTGTATAGAATCTGTAAAATTGATTACTATCTATCATAAAACAGCTTTCAAACGTGTTGCCTCGAGTAACTAAAGATTCTTTTGATAAAATTAATCTCTATTTTTGAATTGAAAGATAATCAGGGTCTTTCTCAACGCAGTCATCTGTCTTTACTTTTTAAAGTTTGTATTACATTTTTCATGCACTAGCTTCATTTGAAAATTAAAGAATTGTCACATCTGAGAGATCGAGAATGAGCCGGGATACATCAAAGGCATAAGTATTATCAGAGATGCTATAAACCCTCAGGGGGGTTTACCTACTTTAGGTAAACACAGGAAGTCAACCTTCTTTAGGTAAACACAGGGAGTCAACCTTCTTTAGGTAAACACAGGGAGTCACGCCCCGGGGTACCCTAGTAACATGTCCTCCCTTTAGTCCTACTTTCCCCTTTCTCTTCCCCTTGTCGTGGTTGCGAATTTACTGATAAGGGCTTTTCATCTATGTTTGATTACCACCCTGTTGTATCAGACCCAGGTGGGAAGAGACCACCCTCGGGTTTGCCGTGCGTGGAGACCCGTGTCCTTGGAAAAGGGGATCCTGGCAGTTGAGGGGCGTCTTGGTACCCCAATACACTGCTTTGGCTAATACACTATTTTGTTTTTTGCACCCCCTTAGTAGGACTCCGTGGTGGGTGATGCCGCTGGTAGTAGTACTGTTTTTATTTTCTATGGCTGAAGATAGTACGGTGTTGAATTCCGCACACCAATGCAAAAACAGCGGAACAACTCTTCCACCGCATGTATATGCTCGTTATTTCATAATTACATTGACGAATCCTGTCCTACCAAACACATCATTTTCTAAAGTTTCACCATTCTTAATACACAAAGCTCTTCTCTCTGCACTAGGAGAAGTAGCCTTTGTGAGAAAACTACATTCTGGCGACCTTTTAGCGCAGACGACATCCGAAAAACAAGCCACTGCAGCTATCTGTTCCTTTAAGATAACTGTCACTCCGCACAAATCGTTGAATACCTGTCATGGAGTAATCTCCCAAGCGGAATTCATAGAAAACGAAGAAAATACGATCTTAGAAGACCAGCATGTTGTTGAGGTCCGTAGGATTAAAATTCGAAGGAATGGACAACTCATTACAACGAAACATCTTATCCTTACGTTTGCCTCTCCAACGTTACCATCTGCTTTAAACTTGCATGGTATAATTGCCCAGTTAGACCCTATGTCCCAAATCCTTTGAGGTGCTTTCAGTGCCAAAGGTTTGGGCATTCAAAAAGCAGCTTGCTGTGATACACCTGTTTGTGCTCGCTGCTCTACTCCAGGCCATTCAGACACTTCCTGTGAGTTACAACCCCTTTGTATTAACTGCAAGGGAGCTCATGAAGCTTACTCAAGGAGTTGTCCGAGATGGTCAGAGGAGAAAGAAATTCAATCAGTTAAAGTAATGCAGCCCGTCAAATCGTTACTGCCTGTACACCCCTTCCGGGCGTGTCATATTCTACGACTGTTAAGACTTCATATTGTTCTATTGGTACTCAAACTGATTCCCCGGCTCAAACATCTACTAAAAATAAGCAGATTAAACCACCAACTCAAAAACCGAAGTTTAACTTTACCATATCATCAGCATCTAATAGGACCACCTCACCTCCACCTAGCAAAACATCTAAAATAGACAATTCCGAAAAGGCTCAACCTTTTCCAAAATAAATCCCTTCAAAAAAACTACCCACTAGTCAAAAGCCTGGCTATACCAGGAAGAGAAAAGATGCAAAGCCAATCAATCCACTTCTTCTGCTTTACAGAAGATGGATTGTGAGGTAGAATTGTTTTTGCTTCCTTTCGATTGACACAACCGCTTTCGATTGACCTCTGGATAATTACGTTAACTTTCAATCATCTTTTCTTATTCCATAATGTTCATATGTTTCATATCATGGAACTGTTGCGGATTGCAAAATAAAGTCTCTGATGTCAATGACATTATTTCAAAATATCAACCTGCATGCATTGCTTTGCAGGAGACACATTTAACGTCATCCAATGCTTTTAAACTGACCAACTATTCTTGCTATCGGCAGGATTTTAATAATGGAAATCAACCTCATGGCGGCGTAGCAGTTTTAACTTCATCAGCTTTTCTATCAACTCACCTTTCATTATCAACCTCATTACAGGCTACCATAGTTCAAATTTACATCAATGTCCTCATTACAGTCCTGCTCTGTCTATCTACCCCCTCATGCATTCATTTCCCAAACAGATTTGAACTCACTTATAGTTAAATTACTTTCGCCCTTTATTTTGCTCGAGATTTAATGGTCATAGTAAATTGTGGGGTAGTTCCGCCTCCAATGACCGGGGGCATAAAATTAAACGACTCATCTACGACCATAATCTCTGTTTGCTTAATAAAGACGAAGAAACTTATTTTCATTCACCTACTCGAACCTTTCACTCCATTCATCTAGCGTTATGTTCACCCGCTATCTTACCTTTTATAAACTTTTCTGTGAGTGATAATCTTCACAGCAGTGATCATTTTCCTCTCATTGTTTCATATTTTACTTCTGTTCCCATGAGTTCATGACCATCAACTTTCATGTTTCATTGCGCTAACTGGCCTCTATTTACAATGCTTGCTCAGATTACGGAGGACATGATAACTCGCAATACTATAGGTGCTGCTATTAATAATGTAACATCTGTAATTCTCCAAGCGGCAGAGGAAAGTATTCCTAAGTCGTCAAGTTCACTTTCTCGCCACCGCAAGCCGTGGTGGATGAGAAATGCGCAGCTGCCTACAAAGAGCAGAGACGCTTCTACAATTTTTTTCCTTTTTAGAATTAGGAGTGGTTTTCTTTTTCTCTTACTTTAAAATGTGTTTACACTTTTTCCTTGTAATTTGGGTTCGATAAAACATCAATTAACGACACTTTTTGGTCGATCCAGAAAACCGGGAAATGAAGACATCCGGGATAGCGATGGTCCCAAGCATCCCGGATAATTGGTTTTTTATTGTACAGACATTAGTATTGAATTGGTTTCTTTATTCAATTTATTTATTTTTTAAAAGATTTTGTGCATTTTTATTACAGTGTCAAGGGTTTTTAAATAATGTTTTATTAAGGAAATGGAATTTATTTTTTAAATCAAGATTATCTACCTAATATAGTTTTGTGTTGCTAAATCTGTGTTTAATTATTTTATTTCCATTTAATATTTTTCCACAATTTGTGCTCTATTAGTGTGTAAAATTTCTTGTATTCTTATATTTAATAAATTTTTTACTTAAAATTTCTTAGAAGTGTCAAATGTTGCATACCGTGCATCTTTTTTTTACCCCTCCTAAAATCTCCTAAATTCTTGTTAGGGAAACTCCTGAATGTTAATTTTGCTAGGTTGGCACGTCTGTAATACCTATTCTAAAACCAGGTAAAGAGGCTAACGATCCAAACAACTATCGCCTGATAGCCTTGACCAGCTGCCTTGGTAAAACATTTGAGCGGATGGTTAACTCTCGGTTTACTGTATTACATCGAAAAAAAGCGTGTCATACCAGACTTTCAAAGTGGCTTCCGTAAGGGCCGGTCAACTTTAGACAATATTATTGAACTATAATCCAGAATTCATAACGCCTTTGTCCGGCTGAATCATCTTGTCTCTGTTTTTTTTTGGTATTGAAAAGGCATATGATCGAACTTGGCGTTGTGGAATTCTCCAGACACTGTTTGACATTGGACTCCGGGGTCATTTGCCAATTTTCATCAAAAATTTCTTGCTGAGGCGCTATTTTCGTATTAAACTTTGACCTACATTTTCTGATCTTTACGTTCAAGCGGAACGCGTCCCACGAGGCAGCGTTTTAAGTGTCACGTTATTCATCATGCATATTTCACCAGTTTTAAACTTCTTGCCCCCTACTGTCTCTGGCTCTCTCTATGTCGATCTACACATCTCATGTTCAGGATTCGACATGAGAGTCATCGAGCGACAACTGCAATTAGCTGTTAACAAGATCTTAGACTGGTGTGATCAGAATAGTCGCACTCTTTCACCTTCTAAAAGTTGCTGCATCCGTTTCGGCCGTACAGGCGCGCTTCATAATGACCCTGACATCTCCATTCGAAACATTAATTTAACAGTCGTGCCACACACGAAATTTTTAGGAGTCATTTTCGACAATAAGCTAACTTTCTTACCTCATATCAGGCTATTACGTAGACAATGCGAACAGAAACTGAACATTTTGCGTGTACTGTGTAATACATTCTGGGGAGCTGATCGCCTAGCCCTGCTACGCATATATCAAGCGCTGATACTTTCACGGCTTGACTATGCATGTGCAGTTTATGGCTCTGCAACCGCCTCCAATCTACGTATCTTAGATACCGTACACCATTCAGCTCTTCGCATTTGTTCGGGAGCTTTTCGTACATCTCCCGTTGAAAGTTTATACGTTGTCTGTAATCAAATACCATTAGATTTACATCGCATGAAGCTATCTCTCAGTTATTACTTTCGTATCATGTCCTCTAGATATCATCCACTAAAGCATTATGTAATTTCATCAAGCTTGGAGAGATTATATGCAGCTAGATCTTCTCACGTCCGTCCATTTCATGCCCGCATGCGTTTACTCATTCAAACTTTTGACATTTGCAAATCACCATCGCAATCAGTCGATCATCTTCTCATACCNATCAAAAATTTCTTGCTGAGGCGCTATTTTCGTGTTAAACTTGGATCAACATTTTCTGATCTTTACGTTCAAGCGGAAGGCGTCCCACAAGGCAGCGTTTTAAGTGTCACATTATTCATCATGCATATTTCACCAGTTTTAAACTTCTTGCCCC